GAGCGCGAGCTCGCGGACGTCAAGGAGAGGGCCTAGGAGGAGTTTAAAACCTCCGAGGATTGTGACAAGATAAAAGGAGAGTACGCGTCGGGGGCATACTTCCATGCTCTGAAAGAAGCCCGGGCCTTTCTCCGTCTGAAGTTACCCGACGTCGCTCCGGATGACCTGAAGACAGTGCCTTCTATTGCTGATACTTTGGAGCTCTCGGGTTCAGAAGATGGAGGAGGATCAGGCGGAGATGAGGACGACGGTCTTGAGGACGACGTTGAGATTGACATCAGCAACCTCGACCCTCCTTTTGGCCATATTGGATGACTTCCCCCCATCCCGATCTTTTGTAATTTTTGTTTAAATTTTGAACATGTATTTTGATCGATGACTGTGTATGTTTTGCAGTTAATTTATTGCATTTGAACTTAGAATTAGTTATCCCGACCCCTGGGACTTCATACATTCGAGCAAACAAATTGGAGAGTAACTACTCATGCGACATTAAAGAGTTTACTCGAGGATTCCACAACTCGAGCATATAACTTAAAGAGACCCTCGAGGACTCCAAACCTTGAGCACATCTAACTTAAAAAGTAGTAATATGCTCATGTGACGTCCTCAAGGGATTAAGATATTCTCGAGGACTCCAAACCTCGAGCACAACTAACTTAAAAAGTCGTAATGTGCTCATGTGACATCCTCGAGGGATTGTGATATTCTCGAGGACTCCAAACCTCAAGCACAACTAACTTAAAAAGTAGTAATGTGCTCATGTGACATCCTCGAGGGAGTGTCAAAAATGATGTTGGATTTTTATACGTCTCCGAGCACTACTATAATGGCTTACGCTTGAGTATGTTGTATGATCAAGGCTTTTTTGAGTGCTTGCGCGGGACAAGGCTTTTAGTGCTTGCTCGGGGCAAGGCTTTTGATGCTTGCACGGGGTAAGACTTTTTTGTGCTTGCTTGGGGCAAGGCTTTTGATGCTTGCGTGGGGCAAGGTTTTTTTTCGCTTGCTCGGGGCAAGGCTTTTGATGCTTGCGCAGGGCAAGACTTTTTTGAGTGCTTGCGCGGGGCAAGGCTTAGGTGCTTGCTCGAGGCAAGGCTTTGGACTGCTTGCTCGAGGGCAAGGCTTACGTTGCTTGTCGAGGACAAGGCTTAGGTAATTCCTGGACGCAAAGCAAACTATAGGGCTGTTATACCCGAGGTTTGAATTTATTAATTCCTCGGGCTGGTCTCGGATTTATATTGTATCCAAGCTGCCTACGTACCTAAACGGGATCAAGCCGAACGTAGTTTATTACAAAAGAAAATGAAAAACATGCATGGGCACGCAAACCTGTCAAACTAGAAATAAAATGCAAGGGCACGCAGGCCCGAAGAACCAAAAATAACATTCAGAAGAAAAGAAAATCTCCTAGATGGCATCGAGAATGTTACTTGTAATATATTTTCAGATTATCGGCATTCCAAGGCCTTGGAAGAGGTCTACCCGAAGTGTCTCTTAGGCTATATGCTCCTTTGTGAACCTGTCGTATGACCTCAAAGGGTCCTTCCTAGATGGGCCCTAGCTTCCCTGGGGGTGACCTGCTGCTTCGGCCCTCCTCAAGACCAAGTCGCCAGCTCTGAACCTCCGAGTCTTGACTTTGTTATTAAAATGTTTTGCTATCTTAGTTTGGTAAGAGGCCACCTTTATAGCGGCTTGCTCCCGTACTTCTTCCAAGAGATCAAGGTGTTCAATTGTATGCCCCGAGGTTTCTGGCTCGAGCCTCCTCTGGCTTGGCAGTCTAATTTCCACCGGGACCATTGCTTCAATGCCATAGGCTAACATAAAAGGGGTTTCTCCTGTGGTTGTCCTATGAGTTGTTCTATACGTCCATAGTATAGAAGGCAGCTCATCGGACCAAGAACCCCTAGCATTACTAATTCTTGTTCGAAGGTCTTGTAATATGATTCGATTTGTTACCTCGGCCAGACCATTGCTCTGAGGATGCGAAACTGAAGTCAGACGGTGATCAATCCCAAGGTTTGAGCAAAAGTCCCTAAACTGTTGATTGTCAAATTGCCTGCCATTGTCGATGACGAGGACCTTTGGTATCCCAAACCTGCAAATGATAGACCTCCAAGTGAACGTTCTTAGCTTGGGCTCCGATATCGTTGTGAGAGGTTCGGCCTCTGCCCATTTTGTGAAATACTCTACTGCTACAGCAACAAACTTTAATTGACCTCTTGCCACAGGAAAGGTCCCGAGGATGTCAACACCCCATTGTTCAAACGGGGCCGAACAAATAATGTTGGTGAGGTCTTCGGCCGGTGAATGGATAACATTACCAAACCTCTGGCACCTATCACATCTCTTAACATATTCTGAGGCGTCTTTCTTTATAGTTGGCCAATAGTACCCATATCGTATGAGTTTAAAGGCCAGGGCTCTGGCTCCTTGATGATTCCCGCACACACCTTCATGAACTTCAGCAAGGGCCCGGGATGATTCTGATGGTCTAAGGCACTTAGGTATGGAAGAGTAATACTTCTGCGAAAGAGGACACCGCTGATCATGTAGTACCTAGGAGCTCGAGCTCGGATGCTTCTAGCCAACCTGGCATCGCTTGGTAGATTTCCACTTGTGATGAATTCTATGATTGGGTCCATCCAAGACGGTTCGTTGTCAATGTCCATGACGTCGGGGATTTGATTGATGCTGTGTTCTATGATGACATTGATGTGAATTGTTCTGTCCAGGCTGTCAACCCCCATGAACACAAGCCTGGATAATGCGTCGGCTTTTCCGTTGTCTGTTCGAGCAATTTTTGCAATTTCACAACTCTTGAATTTTCGTTGAAGATCCTGAACCTTCATGCAGTACAAACTCATTTTCGCGTCTTTCCTTTCAAATGATCCTTCAATCTGTCCGACCACCAATTGTGAATCGCTGAATACCTTCACGAACTCGAGCTCAAGGCTAAGGGCTAGCTCCAGAACAATAACGACGGCCTCATATTCGGCCTCGTTATTGGTTGCTTCAAACTCGAACCTAAGAGCGCATTGAATCTCCGTATGTTTGTCAGGGCTAATGATGATGACCCCTGTACCCGAGCCCGAGGAGTTCGATGCTCTATCTACAAAAATTTGCCAAGTGTCCAAATTAGTGCTCATGCTCGATCCGTCACATGGCCTCCTAGGCCTAGGGGTTAGTTCTGCAATGAAGTCAGCTAGTGCTTGGGCTTTGATAGATGGGCGTGGTTTGAATTCGATGTCAAATTCTCCAAGCTCGATCGCCCATTTCATCAATCTTCCTGAGACGTCCGGCTTTTGAAATATATGCCTAAGTGGTTGATTAGTGAGCACCACAATAGGGTGAGACTGAAAATACTGCCGGAGTTTCCGTGCTCCTATCACCAAGGCAAGGGCAAGTTGTTCCGCCAAAGTATACCTTGTTTTCGCATCTAGTAGGACCTTGCTTACATAGTAAATAGGTTGTTGGACTCTGTTAACCTCTTTCACCAAGACCCTGCTGACCGCGTTTTGGGATACGGCCAAATACAAAAATAAGGTGTCACTAGGCTCAGGCCTAGTGAGAATAGGAGGAGATGCCATTTGCTTGAGCTCCTGAAAAGCTTTCTCACAGTCTTCACTCCAATCAAAGCCTTGGTTTCCTCTGAGGACTTTGAAGAAGGGATAGCACCTATCTGATGCTCGGGACATGAACCTGTTCAAGGCTGCTATCCTACCAGTAAACCTCTATACCTCTTTCTTGTTCCTTGGTGATTCCATAGATGCCAAGGCTTGTATTTTGTCAGGGTTAGCCTCTATCCCCCGGTGAGTGATCATAAAGCCCAAGAACTTGCCCGAGGCTACGCCAAATGCACATTTTGCGGGGTTTAACTTCATTTTGTACTTTCGCAAGGTGTCGAAAACCTCTTCAAGATCTGAAATATGCTGGTCCACCCGTTTGCTCTTGACCACCATGTTATCAACATACGCCTCCACATTCCTTCCTATCAAGTTAGCAAAGACTTTGTTGATGAGCCTTTGGTATGTTGCCCCTGCATTCTTCAAACCGAAAGGAATGACCTTATAACAGTATATGGCGGAATCGACCATGAATGACGTCTTTTCTTGATCTTCCTAGGCCATGAGGATTTGATGATAACCAGAAAATGCATCCAAGAAGCTGTATAGCTTATGTCCAGATATGCTATCCACCAAGTTGTCAATCCGCTGTAGGGGATAACTATCCTTTGGACATGCTTTGTTAAGATCTGTGAAGTCAATGCAGACCCTCCACTTACCATTGGCCTTCTTCACTAAAACAACATTGGCAAGCCAATCGGGATATTGGACCCCCTGAATGAATTGAGCACTGACGAGTTTGTTAATTTCTTCGCGAATGACCTCCCGACGTTCTGGGACAAACTGTCTTTTCCTCTGCTTTACTGGTCTGGCCCCTGGGCTAATGTTAAGCCAGTGGACTACAATTTTGGGGTCAATCCCTGGCATATCCTCAACCTTCCAGTCAAAAACATCAATGTTGCAAGATAAGCAACCAATAAGTTCTGTCTTCAGGGTGACGTCAAGATCCCGACCAATCGTCACCTTCTTATCATGCTCAATCTCAATTTCCATCAATTCTTCAACAGGAGCAAGTCTGACTTGTTGCTCGATCTCGGGCTCAGTCCTCGAGATTTTCATGACGTCGTTATTTATTTCCCGAACGCTAGCAACATAGCATTGTCTGGCAGTTGTTTGGTCTCCAAGCACGACCCCAACGCCATTACTTGTTAGAAACTTCATGGCTAGGTGGAAGGTAGACACAATGGCTTTGATCTTGTTCAGGAGTGGTCTTCCCAGAATAGCGTTATAGGCCATTAAGATACGTACCACTTGAAAAGATGTCATCTCCGTAACCTGTTTCTGGCCAGAACCCAAAGTTAGAAGAAGCTCGACGACACCCTCTGGAGTGATGACTCCTCCCCCAAACCCCTGGAGAGGAGTTTCAACCGCTTTGAGCTACTGAGCTGAGATTTCCATTTTGGCAAAAGCCTCTTGTGAAAGTATATTGGCCGCACTCCCGTTGTCAACCAAGATTCTCTTTACTTCAAAATTGGCCACAATCACTGAGATGACCAAGGCATCATCATGTGGAAGTGATACACCTTCCAAGTCCCTGGTTCCAAAAGTAATATCCTCCAGCTTTCCATGAGGCATCCCAGAGGCCAAGGTATATTGTCGGGCATATTGTTTTCTTCCACTGTTCGAGTCTCCTCCCGAGGCAATACCCCCAATGATGATATTGATGGTACCAGCAGTGGGTTGACCATCCCTTTTTGCTTCAGGGGCTCTTTCCTTACCACAATCATTCCTCGGGCATTTGTCATTATCGACGTAGGAACTCAGGAGTCCTCTTTTAATAAGGGCTTCAATTTCCCGTTGCAGGGCCTTACAGTTTTCCGTGGTATGCCCATGATCCCGATGGAACTCACAGTACGTGTTCATGTCCCTGGATTCGGGTGGTGACCTCATTCTGGTAGGCCATTTGAGTTCCTTCATATCCTTGATCTCCATCAACTTATTTGTTTTTGACGTATTTAAAAGCGTGAATGACGCCGGGGGAACCTCCTGTCTCTATTTTCTCCGAGGTGGTTCTTGACGGGGGTTCAGGTCGTGCTGTCGTTTATGCTCGACCCTATCATGGGATGGTCCAACCTTTCTCGGGTTCAGTGTTTCCTCCATATTTATGTACTTCTCGGCTCGGATAAGAAGCTCGGTCACTATCTTTGGCGGAGTTTTGGATAACGACATCTTGAAAGCCTCACACTTTATGGCATATGTGAGGGCAGAAACTGCTGCAGTTATATGTAGGTCGGGAATCTGAAGTCTTTCCTTGTTGAACCTGGTCATGAAGTCATGTAGGGTCTCATTTTGCCCTTGGCTAAGTTGCATGAGGGAAGCCGCTGTCTTCCTGATGCGTTTACTGCTTGCGAAGAAAGCAGAGAACTTGTCCGCCAAATCCGAGAATGAGGCTATGGAGTTGGGCTCTAAGGTCGAGAACCAATCCCTAGCAGCATTTGTCAAAGTTTGCGAGAAGGCCTTGCACATCACCTGATCCGGTGCGACCTGCAGATTCATGACGTCCGTGTATACGTTAAGATGATTGATTGGATCGGTGGTCCCATCATACTCTTTAATCCTAGGATACTTAAATCTGTCCGGCAAGGAGAATGTCAATATCTCGGGAGTGAAAGGAGTGTTGGGACTGAATCTTATTGACCCTTTGTTGCCCGGAAGTAGGCCCGCCATAATTCCTTCTTGAATAATCCTAGCGAGTTCTCCGGACTCCATGGTCACTGATCTCGAGGCCGAGGTCACATGGGGTATGCCCGAGGCCCCTGCCCCACCATTGTCAGGGACATGTCGCTGAGCTCGAGCTCAAGCATCAACCATAAAACCCCCCTCGAGTGCCGGTGTGGGTGACGGATGCGAATTTCTTTAACTTAACAGTTGAGTCAGTGTGGCGACCTGTTGTCTGAGCTCTTCAAAGGCTCCGATAGTGACGACTGCCGGCTGGGGCTCTGGCACTTCTAATGATTCCTCTTGAGGAACAGGGATATCCTCAGGAGGAGGTTGGTTTGGAGCGGACGAGCTTGCTGGTGGAAGACCTGAACGTGTGTTTACCATGGCTTTTGGTAGCGGTTCCCACAAACGGCGCCAATGATGCTACCAAAAATCGTACCTGCAGATTTCCCGAGCTTGATGATTTGGGTTGATCACGATCGTAGTCTTCTGGTACCTGAAACAAAGGCAACGAGATGTGTTCTCGTCGCCCCTCCGATGCTCAAGTCAGAATGGGAATTATATGTGTGATGCTATATGCTGGAGAATAATGAAAAACGTACCTGAATAATGGCCTAAGGTTCTGCTTTTATAGGGGCAGGTAGTGCACTCCTAGTAGGATTGTGCTGGTTGGATGTTTTTATCCAATGGAATCCTATTTATAAAGAATGCCCTACTTGTAATGGAATTATTTGACAAGTGGTAAAAGGGTTGATACAGAGTTCTTGGGTGTTTAGGTTCGTTTGTTAGGTACCTAGGTCTTAGAAGGTCTGTTGGTGGTATATGTCCCGAGGACTATTCTCGAGGACTTGGGTGGTTGATGTTAATATTTGCATGAGCTACCTCAAGGACCAAAATACCTCGAGGTCTCAGGGAGATCCCGAGGCCCATAGCAGAAAGGTGAGCTGGAGCATATATGGAGTCCTCGGGGTGTACTCCTTGGGATATATCAATATTGGCATCGTCAAAGTGTAATTATTTATTTTTTCATTATAAAAATGTTTGGCCTAACTTTGCTGATTATTCATCCCAAAGGATAATCACAAAAAGTAAAACCAAAACTAGCAAAACTTTTTCTCTCTCTCGCTTTGTTTTATCCAAGTCGCCAATGAATTTAGCCAACAAGAAGAGTGGGGGAAATCAATATAAAACACGCACAGAAACACACTGGGACACTGGTACTATGAATCTAGCCAAACTTTGACATTACGGTTGAGCTTTGTAAGATGACGTGTCGGAAGACTCGTAACGCCAAGTCATTCACCCCTCCCCCCCTCATTTATGAAATCAATTCACTATGCATTCACATGCCCTGAGGTTGTTTCAGTTGATGGATGAAGATGACGATGTACAGGACAGAGCAAAGGGTAGCATTTTTGACGTGAAAAGTAGCGAAAATCAAAAACCATTGGAGAATTTGATGTTCAGGTATTATAGTTTAAGAGTGATTGTTATAATGGTTCTGTTGACAGTATCACTCTTGGTGTTGCCACTGGTTCTGCCGCCACTTCCTCCGCCACCGCCAATTCTTCTTCTTGTCCCAGTTTTGATCATGGTTTTGCTGATTTTATTAGCCTTTGCACCTTCACAATTGCCCAATATTCATGTCCCTCCTGTGTGAATATATATACATATATAGACACACACTGACACGTGTATACGTGTAAAATCAGAGAAATCCCAGCGGAAAATTCACGTAGGAGTCTAGATCGAGTCACGGTCTCTTATCTAATCCCACGCTTTGTTCTTCTTCTATCATCGTTGTCAGTGAGACATTTCAACTAATATACTGTGGAAGAACGAAATCTATTTTCTTGTTTCTTATGTTTTTTAGGTCGATTTGTCTGCAAATCATGCTTCTAACTACACCGCTTTGATCAATTTATTTTGATGCATTGTGTATGATATTATATTGTAATTTTCTTCATCATTTTTTGTTTTAATTTATTGCAGTATGATTTAATTGATTGAGATTGTGAGTTTGGTTAGACTATTACGTCATATTACTACGAACAATACATAGACAAGTAAATCCCTTATGAATTTCAAGGTACTCCTTTACTTGCACTTTTGTGAGTTTGGTTAGACTATTACGTCATGTTACTCCCTTTTTTTTTTTTTTTTTTTTTTTTTGTGCAAAATATTGGAAACACTATTTGAACTCAAAACCTTTTTTTATGTGAAGTAAATAAAATGATTTGAAAGGTAAAGCAATTGAAATTTGATATTTGAATTTTCTTGGAAGTTATAGGGGTATTATCTTATAATTTTCACATGGAAATTATCATTTTGTTGCGTAAATTAAGGGGTTGTTTTACAGAGATTTGATAAAAAGTATCAACAAATTTTGATAAAAGTTAATAAAATATGTAATTAAAAAGTTGTGGGATTCATAAAATGTATAGTTATAATTAAAGTTTTGACAAGTTCAACATTTTGATAAAATTTTAGTAAAGTATCAAATAATCACTAATATATCTAAACAAAATTGTAATGCTAAGATGAAGTTTACTAACAAGAAATCAAGAATGCCTAAATTTCACCCAATGATCTAACGAGGAAAATTTGATGAAAATACCTTTTTAAATTAGTCCAAAGACAGGACTTCAATTCTTCAAAAACTTTCTGTTCCTATAAATTAATGATGCATGGTCCCTTTTTAGAATTTTAGGTTAAAAAAAAAAAAAAGAACGAAGTAGGTTCATATAAAAGAAAACAGTTTGTATTAGTATTTTCTTTTCTTTTTCGTGAACTTGAGGGTTTGCAGTGTTTTTTTTTTTTTCCTAGAAAAGAAATTAAGGTTTATCTGTGGGTTGCAGATTCATCTGTATTTGGACCACCGCCCGCCGCCTTTATACGGTGGAGGGTCAGCACCAGCCACCGCAGGTTTTTGCTCCCTAGCTCTACCATAAATGTCCTATATAGATAGTATTTTGACAACCATTAGATTCCAGCTGGTATGTCCGCTTTGGAGTGGGCACAAATTATGGTTGCACATGCATGTACGACGTACGGGTACATAATCTAATGTGTATTTAGGTTTCTACTAAAGTACTTTTATCAATATCAACTCGCCATTGTAAAATTACAACAATTGCTGGTTTTCATCATTAAGGACAATTTATGAATTTTGATAATAATACCTATATTTAGAAAATGAACTCCAAAATCCGAATCAATTCTCGATTAAAGTGTAATAGATATATGAAAGAATCTCTCGAATAAAAGTGGGCGATCACAAAGTTTCTCTCTGGCAAAAACGTAGGCTCATGATAACTTAGAAGCTTATATTTTGATCAAAAGTATCTCTTGGATAAGAGTGGAGAATCACAAAATAGTGATTAATTGATTATCATGAAAATAGGTTATTCAAGAAATATATAAAATACATTTTTCTTCGTATTCTTAAAAGCTCTTTATTTATTTATTTTTGTGCTATATCTATGGCTAAACACTCTTTATATATTACCTTAATTTCCACTCTTTCCCTTCTTCTATGCAACATGGAACTCACGCTCTTCTACATTTCTGTCTTTCTTCATTTCATTATGATGTATTACAAATTATAAAATTTGATGAGATTTGAGATGCAATGAAAAAACAAATATGTAAGGAGAGAGGTTGGTTTCAAACTAAATAATTAAGATTTTCATAGGGTTAAAGACACATTTCATCACATATTTTTTTTCATTTTCTAAATTTGGTCGGTGATTGTGAAGAGATAAATCTCACATCAATTATGAATGAAATAAATAATCAACATACGAGTTTGAATTACTCTTAACAAAGACTCAATAACGATGAACTCAAAACAGTTTATGAAATAGAGAACTCAAAAAATGTGTTTTGTCTTGAAAAGTTTCCACGTTCTTAAAAGGATTACGGATAATGAAGTACAAAAGAAGTAAGTTTCAAATAGTTTATTATTTGTATTCACCAATATAAGATATTAATCATCTTTAAGATAACAAAAATAAGGCTAACGCGGTAGCAATATCGATCATCTTTTGGGAGCTAAACCTTCAAACGATGGGAACAAGAAATTCATTGCTTGGTGATGATGAAAAATGGTTGCTTAATTTCAAAGTAGCTAAGCATAAGTGCAACAATAAAAACATGTTTAATGTTTATTTACTGCATTTCTACTGCAGTGGGTAGAATCTGTTGAGACTAACTTGTTACAAGCGCGAAAGATTGACGAGTGCTGCAAAAAATATAGGTTAAAAGATCAA